TGGTAGCAAATATGGTTGACATGGTAGCAAATATGGTTGACATGGTAGCAATTGTGGTTGACATGGTAGCAAATGTGGTTGACATGGTAACAAGTGTGATTGACATGGTAGCAAATGTGGTTGACATGGTAGCAAATGTGGTTGACATGGTAGCAAATGCGGTTGACATGGTAGCAAATGTGGTTGACATGGTAGGAGATGTGGTTTACATGGTAGGAGATGTGGTAAAAACCTGTTTTTTTTATGGAAATCATACCTTCCATTGTGTCGTAAGCTTCAAAAACTGCTTCCTTGTCTTCTTGTAGATCTTTATTGTAAGTGCTTGGTAAGCCTTTCATGGTCATCATAAAGCCAGCACACTGCATGCAAAAAAGTTTATCATTTAGAAGTAAGCATTTCTTTATGAATGTATAACACATACAATTTGTTTATTATTGTAGGGGCAATGACTGTCAGTCGGCCATCCAACATCAAAGTATTATTATATAGACCTCAGTAAACAGGGAAATGTTATTATTTCATGTAATGTTTAGTGATAATCTCCTACATAATTCACTGACAACAAGGCTATGTCAACAATATGTTATACCCGGTCTTAAAGGGCAGTGGTTGTCTCAACACATCCTGTTTAATATGGGACTTATAGCAATGTATACAATGCATGTAATCGAATACACGCTGCGTGATGATCACCACCCTTTAATTATTACATTATCTAACCTTGGGTGCCAGGGTGTAGCTACACAGTACGAGTCAACTTTGTGGTTAAGATGTTAATTAGAGTAATTATATTTTATTCACACTGAATAGCTCAGTTAATTATATTTTTGATGGTAATAAGTTTTGATTCCACTGTGCAAACAGGAAAGTGAAACAAAAAGTGACAGTTTTCTCTACTGAGAAACAAAACTGCCTAAAAGCCGTAAAAGTAACCAATGATCTTTCAGCATTGTATCAATATAACAAGTGGTTTTTGTTTAATATCCTATTGAGAACATATATTTAGAGCCAAGTTCACCAGTTGTACTGCAACAAATATGAATGTTAATAGACTCAGCAAAATTGTTTCCAGATGTTAAGTTCACCAGTAATAGCATTTAATAAAGAGATTAACTGTACGGAATATTATAATCAATGTTACACACAGGAAGTTGGATTATCACTTGTCTGGACAAGAATTGCATGCCACTTTTTTGAAGTCCATGTCTATGTCTGTATGAAGTCTTTTTTTGATGAAGAATATACTTGTACATCAAAAACACAGAAAATGGTGTAACTATATCAAAATGATTTTTTATTACATTATTACAGATACCAATAGCAACCACATAGCTGACCAGGGTTGTTTATTTTTTAATACATTTTTCAAATAGTGGCTGGTATATTTCCCCATAATGTCACATTTCAACAAGTACACCAATATGATAAATGAAATATTTAAAACCTTTGATGAAAATAACCTAATATTTTGTTTATTTTTATAATCTGGCACTATGAAGTACTGTGTTTCCATGAATTATGAATTGAATTCACATAGGTGACAAACCAAATGTATAGTAATGAGCACTGCTGTAAAATGATTAAATATTCACTGGGTTTTAATTTTGCTTATTTTGCTGACTGGAAAATGCGCTAAAATAAAACCCAGTGAATATGTAAAATTTGGCATAGAACACATTATCTAAATGATAAAACCGTGAATTTAAAACCCAATGAATATGCCTGAAATGGTAAATCAGCGAAATTTAAGCCCGGTGAAAATTAGTCATTCTACAGTATATTACAGCTATTACATTTTTTGTTCCCCCCCCCTAGAAAAATTATTCTTGAACTGACCTTCCCAAAGACTCTCCCAGATTTTCCACGTATAAGTTCCAAACTATCCGGGTTCTTCTTCTGTGGCATCAGACTGCTTCCAGTACTAGGTAGAAAGAAGGAAAAGACACAAAAAATGAAAATCTTTATGTATATTCATCAATATGAATATGCATGATCAGTGTCAATTCAACCCTTATGGGTTATGGCAATGAAAAAATGAACACCAAAGAAACTGAGAACATATTTTACAGACTGAGGTGTTCAGTTTACAGGCCAGGATGTTCAATTTACAGACTGAGGTGTTCAGTTTACAGGCCAGGATGTTCAATTTACAGACTGAGGTGTTCAGTTTACAGACTGAGGTGTTCAGTTTACAGACTGAGGTGTTCAGTTTACAGACTGAGGTGTTCAGTTTACAGACTGAGGTGTTCAATTTACAGACTGAGGTGTTCAGTTTACAGGCCAGGATGTTCAGTTTACAGGCCAGGATGTTCAATTTACAGACTGAGGTGTTCAATTTACAGACTGAGGAGTTCGGTTTACAGACTGAGGTGTTCGGTTTACAGACTGAGGTGTTCGGTTTACAGACTGAGGTGTTCAGTTTACAGACTGAGGTGTTCAGTTTACAGACTGAGGTGTTCAGTTTACAGACTGAGGTGTTCAGTTTACAGACTGAGGTGTTCAGTTTACAGGCTGAGGTGTTCAGTTTACAGACTGAGATGTTCAGTTTACAGACTGAGGTGTTCAGTTTACAGGCTGAGGTGTTCAGTTTACAGACTGTGGTGTTCAATTTACAGACTGGGATGCTCAGGTTACAGACTGGGATGCTCAGGTTACAGACTGGGGTGCTCAGTTTACAGACTGAGGTGCTCAGTTTACAGACTGAGGTGTTCAGTTTACAGACTGAGGTGTTCAGTTTACAGACTGAGGTGTTCAATTTACAGACTGAGGTGTTCAATTTACAGACTGAGGTGTTCAATTTACAGACTGAGGTGTTCAATTTACAGACTGAGGTGTTCAGTTTACAGACACAGGTGTTCAATTTACAGACTGGGGTGTTCAGTTTACAGACTGAGGTGTTCAGTTTACAGAGGTGTTCATCATTACCTGTAAGCATCCGATAATTTTATGAAACTAAATTCTTTGGTGCTATAAATGATAAGATCTTCCGACCACTTGCTAAGATTAACCATCGTCATTGATGCCCAGAATAAAAATTCAGCAACATAATCACGTCCTGCTGTTCCGTCCAAGCTGTTGCCACATATACTATCAAATTGGAGTTCTGGAAGTAAAATTTAACAAGAATCTGAAGTAAAAACATTTTTTCATAATTTGGTTAATTTTGAGCCAAATAGACAAAAAATATTCATTTGGCAGAGAATTTTAGACAAACAGACATCCATAAACAAAAATTAGGCAGGATTTCTTAAATCTTAGTTTCTGGTAGATTTGATGGGCAAAAAAATTTAATATTAAAAACAAGAAGATATAATCCTACCTTTAGCGAGGAATTCACGATCCACATTGAACGGATTACCAGCTAATGCACCACTATAGGAAGAAAAAAACATTCCATCAAAATGATTTTATACATTTGAACTTTAAACACATTTTACTTTTAGTTTTCATGCAATATGACTGTA